GACAGCCATCTGCACGAAATAACGTTAATCGAGATTCATCGATGAAGAGCATGGACCTCCAACGTCTCATAGGAAAACATCTGGGCATATGTGCCGTCAGCCATTGCATACGACATGCTCGACGTTGCGGTGTTAGTGGTAAACCAACGTACTGTCGCCTTGCATGCAAATTAGCCTCACACAGTCTGTTGATCACTGTTTGGGGATGAATCCGATGGTTATGATTACCAATCGTATTCCTTGCCGTTTCAGCAGCCGTTAACCTCCTGTTACGCAAATGTGCCAGCCTAACAACCCGGTCTTGACGTCGCGACGTTACGCGTGGACGTCCTGATCTCGGCCAGTCATCGACTCTTCCTGTGGCGTTAAGACGTGAAACTAATCGACTAATAGTCGATTTGTGAACTCTGAATTGTCGAGCGACGTGGAGTTGCGTGCTCCCTGCCATAAGCATCGCGATAGCACGTCCTCTATCAGCCTGTGATAACCGTGGCATAATTGTAAAAGGAACTATTGTTTGGCGATGATGTGTCTCGATGTTAGTGATAAATTGATACTGGTTTGAATGAAAATGAACGCATATGTTTGTACAGGCATGGTTTTTGATGTTTTTACTGCGCCGGATGTGCATAGGTTTCTCGTCATACCTGGTTGATTTTGACCATTGGTTGTGCATAGGTTTCTCGTCATACCTGGTTGATTTTGACCATTGGTTAGGGTGATAGGCAGGGTGCACTTTTAATTCTGCGATTTTTATACAGCTATGTATATTTAATACAAAATTAATAACAATTTTCCAAGTTGCGTTTATTTTTCGTTTCAGTACATAAAAAAAAACTTTTTGTAGAAAATATCACCGCATACTTTGTTTGTTGTTTACAAATGTGTAAAAGATCGCTGTATACCGAGTTTTTAGTTTACAATTGTCTAGAAAAATCACTGTATACTGAACATAATACGACTTCTGTTTGAAACCTTCATTTGAACTTAGATAGTATTTTTTTTTATTTATCTTAAAAGTCTACCCTCAACAATTTTGTGTATGCAATCTTGTACTAGGATATTGACATGACAAGATTACATTGCTGATCAAAGCATGGAAAGAATACTGCATAAAGAAAACAAGATATAAGCATCTTTATCATGTTTTTATTTTTATTATTATCATTATTATTATTTTTCCATGATGTCTGTCCACATGGAATTTGTAAGCAATCTTGTGCATTCTTATACCACCAAAAGGATGGGTAAATGGAATCAAGTTGTCTAACTGTCCATCCATATGTTTGTCTGTCTGTGGACACATCTTGTCTAGACAACTCCCATGAAACTTTACAGTAATATTCGGGACAATGTGTAGATGTGCATGCACCATTTTCCCCTCGAAATATTTATTGCCATGGCAACTGGTCAATATAGACAGGTTTTGCATGTCGGTCAACTGCTAAACCTGTGGACCAATTTCAACAAAACTTCGCAGGAATATTAGGGAACATGTGCACATGCCGCTGTGTTTCAGAGGATGTTTCTGTGCAAAAGGTCACCATGGGGAGATAACTAAGGCTGTGGGTGTTGGGGGTATTAGTTATCATTTGGACTACAGTTTCAGTTATCCCTGGGCAATGTGGAGAGGATATAGTAATGATTTTGAGGATTGAATGTAGAGGTCACAGTACTTGCATGAGTACAATATGATTACCTTGTAAACGCATTGAGACCAATACAGTTAGTATACCTTAATCAAATTTGGAACATGTATCCCTTATGAATAAAATATCTTGCGACAAGTTTTAGAGAACAAAGAATATATAAACATGAAAAATTGGAACAAAGACAATATCTACTTGAAGATTCCCTGAAAAAGTACAAGGTGAATAAGACCAGGTTTTCCAGAAGAATAGGCATCTTCTATTTTAAGTTATGGTGACAAGTCATGTTTGTTTTAGAAAATTGGCACTCTTATGCAGTCATTTACAAACAATCTGGAAAATGAAGCTGTCCAATATTTGTATGTAGCATGTTATTTGCATGATGGTCTAACTAATGGTCTTAATCCAATAAGATATGCAGTCTTTAAAGTGATAACATGGTGTCCAAGATCAACATTCCCTACAATGTATCCAAAGAAATGGACAAATTCCCTATCATTGCATCTTGGAGCCTACTTGGGACATGTATTACAGAAGTAATGTGTACTATGCTTGTTATTTCTGATATCTGCTGGTCATTTTTTATGGGCTGCAATGATTTACTGCTTGCATATAGTTGGTTTCAGTATATAGCAAGCTAATAACAAAGAATTTATTTTTTAATGGTCTTAGCATACCAGTACTTTCATTTTATTTCTCTGGTGTGTAACTAAAGGTAAACAAATGTAACCAGTGATCATACTCTATTAATGATTGAACACCTTTGATTGATGTTGAGTAAGTGTACAGATGCCATTCTTTGTTTGATGTTGTGCATATCTACACTGAAATTCCCTTTGGCATTTTGACTGATGCTAGTCAGTGCAGTTGATTACACTTGACATTTCCTTGATTTGTTCTATTATAAATTAAGGAATTTCTACTTAGGTAATAGAATCCTTAATTGCAGTTAAATCTCACTGAAACTGAATGTTACATTTCAATTAAGTTTACCAAACTTCATTTGAATATCCAAATATATGTATCTTTAATTTAATATTCTAATTTTACAGGTCAACTTAGAACTAGTTTTAAATCTAAATTTAGATGCTGGAAACTGGGAAATTTCCAGTTTGACATCTTATTTCTGGTAATTCAGTAAAGGGCCTGTTTCCAGTAATGTTAATTCTCCATAGGAGCCTGCCCCCGTATAATTTCTTATCTAGCTCAACTACTGTTTTTTTCTTTTCCGAAAAATAATTTTACACCTTTCCGACACCCAGATTTCATAATTTCAGTGAAAATGTATTTTTATAAAGTTGTCAATTTCAGCATCAAAGACATAAGTTCGTAAATAAAAGAAGGTTATCTCGAAATTGTAATTCGCAACATAGTATAAATTTCTTTTGATAAATATTTCCAAAACATCGAGTTTATTCATAAAACATAAAAAAAATATATTCTCGGATGAAAATGCACTTGCAGAGACACAATTATGAAGAAAAATGCCATAAATTTGCAATTTTCTCCCGTTATGTAGTTTTGGATGCAAATTTCCATCAGAAAATCAGATAGAGCTTTACTTGTTTCATATGTGTACCAAAAATCAGCTAATTCCATGTGGTGGAACGTTCTCATATCGCCACCTGAATGTGGTTGTAAATTGAAAGAAAAGGGTAAATGAGTAACAACCTTGTCTGAATCCCTATTATATAGCTTATTATATACAAACTTTTATATTGAATATCAGAGCGGATATTTTCATGACAGTTTTATGATGTAAAAAAAAAAAAATAAATAAATAAAGTACTGTTTCCCCGTCTCGATCTTGATTACTTGAGAACCTCTGGCTCCTGGTTAAATCGCCGAACATTTAAGTGATGACGGCGACTATGAGGTGTGGCTTTATCAGCACTCCCCAGACCTTCTCCGATGTCAAATACATTCTCGACACAAAAGCCAAACGAAATATAACGTTTGGATACGGTTCACCGTTTCACCCGATGTTGAGGCCCCAATAAAGGACTACTACTGCCAGTGCCCAGTTGGAGAGAGAACGATGGGAATGTGTGCGCACATCTCCAGTATCTTGTACTACCTTGGGTATTACAGGACGCTGGAAAACCCTCGACCATTACAACCACAGGTAAAGAAATTCCGACAAAACTTGAATAGTTTTCCATGCGGCAACAGAGTGCATATGTCGAAAGTATGTTTTGGGCTCTATATGAAAGATCCCCGTTACCATGTGACTAACCAAACTTATAAATATAGGTATTATACAATCGCCCGTAGCTATGAACACTCCCGTAAATGTGAAAACCAACCAAAATCACGTTTTGTTTGTTGTTCTGTCTATTTGTCAGCCAATGTCTTCAACCACGGGGACTTACGAAGTAGCCATCTTGGATTTTTTTATGAAAAAGTGTTTCTCTCACTTTTTTTCATATCTGTGTACATATTCTCAACATACTGAGTAAATACTCTCGTTTTTTTGTTAATTATCTAAAGAAAGTCGAAAATCAGCAATTCAACCATAGGCTAATTCAACCCAACATTTGAAAATGTTCCACCACTTACATTTTGATGATTTTTCCTCTCATCAATAGCATATTACGTACTATTTAATAGGATAAAAATTGGTTTGCATCCAACGCCCATAAAAGGGTGTCTAAAATGTTATCATCGAAAATGGCATTTTTGAGATTGTTTCTTCCATAAAACAGCCAAATGGTGCGATGGAAACATGATTTTTTGTCACAATCATGACCTGAATGTATTCTTTACGGTGACTATCATTTGATTAGATTTTCATTAATATTTTACATAACATGCACATTTTATCGACACTTAGCTTCTGAAAGGTACAACTTTGAGGAGCCATAAAAAACAAACCAAGTGACCTAAATCTCTATACTTGATAGATTTGTGACCACAACGGCATGGGCAATGCACCACCAACAGGAAATTTGAATCAGAGAAGGGGCCGTTTTGGAAACCGGCCCTTTAATCTAAAATCACATTTTGTGTGTATTTGGTCATATAGAATTTGCATGCACTGAATTTCCTATAACCCATTAACTAACCTCTGCTTGTATGTTATATTGTCATCTGTTTTTCTGTGAATTGTAAAGTGGGCAGATTTTGAATAAAAACTGCCTCATCTTTACATTAGCATATATCACAAATAGTTTGCAGTGTGTTAAGTAAATCTGTTTGCACTAGTATGTATGATTGCACAGTTCTATTTTGGATTGGGGTATAATACACAATGCTACATGTTTGCCAAACACAATACCTCCAAGCAAGGAGCTCACCATAATAGTTGCAGTAAGGAAGTAAGATTTTGTCAGTCTTTAGTTAACACAAAAATAATTGTTACGAATCTTCAGCTTTATTATGAAGCAATAATTTGTTTTCATATCAATTCAGGGTGTGTTATTATTCACATGGCTCCAGAGAATTTTTCTTGACAAAATTTTCACTTGGTGTCTTCCAGCTGAAAATGAAAAAAAAAAAAAAAAAAATGAGAAAAACAAGAATGTATGTGAAATATTAAATGTGTGATGCAATCCATCTATAAACCCTTGCTGCTGTGTCTTTTGCTTCAGTGTGCACTGCTGGGTGCTTTTCACATTTTATGATTTAACTGGGTTAACTTCAAACTTAACTTAGCATCAAAAATATTTTTATTGAACAATTCATTTAATACATAATGACTGATGTTATCGCTGCATATATCTACACACCTGGAATTTGTAATAAAGAGGAGAGAGAACCAGCAACACTGATTACAGGAATGTTCAATTTTTCCAAAACATCAGTTGCTATGACAGTTTACTTCATCTCGTTTAAAATCCAAAGTCTTTTTTATTTTTTTGCAATGTACATAACCCATGGCCATTCATTAACCTGAAAAGAATAAAACATTTTGATTTAAATGATGAATAATTATCTGAGCCAACATTCTTTAGCTGTTTGGTTTATCTATTCTTTTATTTATTTATCTATTTATTTATTTACTTTGATATGAATACAAAAAAAGTCGTAGTGAAAACTCCTGTACAAGTGGTATAAAATTTGTATGGCACTTCTATAGCGTTCTATAGCTTTCTTGGAAATGTTTACTTCATATATACAGATGAGAACAGTTTCTTAATAAATCAAATTTAAATTTAAAACACAATCATTCATTAAAACTTCAGTAAAACTGAAGTTGATATCTTGCAATTTAATATGAAATCCTTGTTCACATGTCATCACAAGTTATTTAATAATTAAGATAACTTTATAAGATATTGACTTCAGTTTACATTATTTTTATAGTTTTTAATTGGGAAAAGTAATCATGGGTGAGAGGCACTTGTTTTGAAATTAGTTAGGTGTTGGGGTTAAATCCCCATTTTTGTAATTAATATTCCATATACTAAATGTTCCATGAATAGTGGGGTTGCTTAAAAAAATAAAGATAAATTTGTAAAAGCTCAAACAGAAATTGGAAACAATTTAACAAATGATAACTCATTATCAGTTCATTTCAGATATTAGACAATTTGTAAAAGCACAAACAGAAATTGGAAACAATTTAACAAATGATAACTCATTATCAGTTCATTTCAGATATTAGACAATTTGTAAAAGCTCAAACAGAAATTGGAAACAATTTAACAAATGATAACTCATTATCAGTTCATTTCAGATATTAGACAATTTGTAAAAGCTCAAACAGAAATTGGAAACAATTTAACAAATGATAACTCATTATCAATTCATTTCAGATATTAGACAATTTGTAAAAGCTCAAACAGAAATTGGAAACAATTTAACAAATGATAACTCATTATCAGTTCAGTTCAGATATGACATCTTCCATATAAAAGTGCACCACTGTCTGTCAACATGTGTAAAGTCATTTATTTCTGCTAGTTAAGGTTTTTAATTGAAATTATTATTTCATGATGTTGTTATCTTCCATTTTTATCAGTAAAAAACACTTTCAATGAAGAAAAAATCAATGCATATAATAATAAATGAATTTTGATTTTGATTTAATTGGTGTTTTTGACAGATTTTAACTCCTTGACAAACAGACATGGCAAATGATGATGTATTTTTAAATAATTGGTTTTGTTGTATGCCACCTCTTTTATGCAAAACGTATATCTTGTATCACATATTTTATGTTTGTGAGCCTTAAACTGTTATTCTTTATACACAATAAAAGAAATTAAGAATATAAATTGGAAATGATGATGTGTTTTTGTGTCTGTCAAACTTCATGACGTTTTTGCTCACTTTTAGAGATGGGCTGTGCACGTCTATTTTCAAAATATTTCTGCATTTAACTGATATAAAATTGTAACTTTAAAAAAAAAAGGAAAAAAGTTCATAAGCCATTGCTATATCACCTGGAAATTACGGATAATATGCTCTCAAGAATAACTAACGTCATGTCCGTCAAACTCGGAAATTTCATTCGCTGACGATGGCCATCGGTCTATACCGGCCTACGCTTAGCTCCCTTACGATGAAGCCAAGTGCTTCCGCTAGGATCGCTGCATGTCTAGCAATAACAAATATGGCCGGCGGACAGGAGGAATTGGAGGAGGATGCAGGTAAAAACAATGAATTACCGATGTCTGTCAAATTAACTGACGTTTACAAGTGATGACGTTTGAATCACGAAACCCCGCAAACATGGTTCTATGCTGTTTTTTTCACAGAAGGCCCTAACCTATATCCAATGTTTCATTTTTTGACAGAATCCGACGAGAATTTCAAAACGATATGAGGTTTCGCGGGTTTTTGTTGTCAAACGTCATTTTTTGACCGACATATTATTATGAACGTCACGATTTTGACAGAAATGTTATAATGAACGTCTGTGTTTTGACAGACACACCAGGGTAAACGTCAGCATGTTGACGGACATCACTTTGTGAACGTCAGTTTTTTGACAGAACATGATTTTATGAGTGATAATTCGCCATTTTAAAATTAAATAAATATAAATAATAATATATCTTATAAGGATTACAATCGTATTACAAAATTGGAACATTCAACAAATTCTATTTCTACATGTACAGTATAATAAAAAATGAATGTAATGTTTACTCAATGAAACTTGAATTAGTTTTATGCATTTTGAATAAACAAGTTTCATCTGTCTACCTCATGTCCATTGCTGATAAATAAACTCAAGTGGAATATTCAAAAAAAGAAGAAGAAGAAAAAAACCACAGAAATGAAAAAAAGTATGCGAAACAGTAACATGCAACAAAATAATGATGTACAGAAATTCAAATTTCCCACACGGAAAACTGCATGTTCAGACGAACATTTATGAGAAAAAATACTCAAGTTTGACAAAACATTGTCAAAACAATGAAGATCCTTTTTTGTTACAAATCTCTCAGTCAATTTTGTCATAAACTGTTTATAATGATGGAGTACGTGTTCGTGTGGGTACTTGTGCCTATTAAAATGTCTTGCGACCTATAGCCAAACACGATGCACATATATATCTTAACAAGTACATGAGAAGAAAGCAGAAGGGATCTTTCTGTGAAATTTAGAAATTAAGCAAAGTTAAAAATATTTCCAATTTGTTTTAATTTTTTGGTATTCTGACCCTACTATTAAAAAGGAATTCTGTTGTTAGTGACCAATTATCATAATTTTCAAAAGATCAACAAAACATTAAGAAACAATCAGATTAATATTCCAGTTTCTTTACTATCAACTTCACTTTCAAGGTTTTAATATTGGTTGAGGTTTTTAAAGCCTTTGTAAATGAGAACAAATACCATACCAACATGCTAACAAAATCATAATTCAAACTTAATTAATGACCATTAAATCAAGGGCAAAATCAAAACAAAGGCAAGATCTACTTGGAGAGTCCCTGAAAAAGTACAAGAATAAGATCCATGTGTTCCTGAAGTGTTTAAGCGTCTTCTGCTACATCAATGACACCCTCATGTAGACCTTGGATAGCTACATGTAGGTCAATTCAAGTTTAAAGGTCTTTATATAAATTAATGTATACCGTATAACAGTGTTGTTATTAGTGCTGGGAATCTGTTGAAATTTCCTGATCAATCATCAAAGTAAATTGCACAGAATACTTTTCAATAATTTTATTAATGTTGAAAATAATTTCAATGTTGAAATAATTTATTTTCTTACATCACGATGTCAAGTATTTTTGATGAAAATCTTTTACAGATTTCTTACTTAATAAATTGATCAAGCATCTCAGATAAGTGATCCTCAATGAACTTGATTAATCGAAACAACACTAGTTGTTATGCCCACCTCTTACCACAAAGTGTGTGATCAAATGGACTAAAGCCATTCAAAAATATGGTCTAAAAAATGTCTGACCTCATGTCGTTCAAGGAAACAGAACATTTCCTGACAAAATTGTGGTAGCGACCATAAAATTTTCTTATAATCTTCATCATGCTGCCACATGAGTTTGTTTACCAGCTGTCTAGATCTTATGTAAAAGTCATGATATCTAGTACAACCCCATGAATATCCGATCAACTGGGACATGGAGACATCATGGGTAGGGGAAGCAGGGATATAACTGTGCATAAAAGGGAAATTGACAATATTTATACAAAACCTTAACCTTGACAATGGAATTGATAGTGAATATAACCTATCATGTAAATAAATCTGTGTCTCTGACATTAACTCTTCCTTTTTTTAGGTGAATCAGGAATCCGGAGCCGGAAACAAAATCCAAACTATGATTTATACCTGAAAAAACAGAAAGAAAGATCAAAAAAAGCAAAAGATCACCTGAAAGAAAGAGATCTAAGGAAAGACACACATGCATTGGAAAAAAAGGCAAGAATGTTGGAAAAGCAGAGGGAGCGGCAAAAGAGATACATGGAAAAAAAGAAGAACAGAGACCAAGACCATCCAGGTGAATATCAAATGAAAGTTTCAAAGTCAAAATCCCCAAAAGTTGTTATACAGACAAGAAAGAGTATTAAATCTAAAAAGGAATATAATCGTATCAAAAAACAAGAATCCCGTGCCAGAATGTCTGTACAGAAGAAAAATTGGATAAAAAAGAAAGACCGAGAAACAAAAAGAGTCAAAAGACAACAGATCACTAACACAAAACGAAAACTTGAAACCTCCTTAACAAACATAGAAAAAACACCATTTTCTTCAAAGAAAACAGTCAGACAAGCTTTCCCATCATCACCAAGGAAGTTTGTGAAAGTGTTGGACAATTTACAAAAAAATCTCTCTCCACACAAGAAGGCAGTGATGGAAACAATCTCAGTCAAAAATGATGAAGAATTATTGATAAAAACCCTTAAAAAAACACCAAAAGGTAAATCAGCACTGAAAGAAGTAGCCAGGCAGTATAAAAACAAGAGTAGAAGATTTGTTGCGAAGAAACTGGAAATGAACAGAAGAACAATCAGTTTAAACCAGAAAAAGGTCCCTGAAGGTAAGAGGTGCAATGCTGTAAATGAAACTATCAAGAAGTTCTACTTTCGGGAGGATATTTCTAGAGTTTTGCCCAAGAAGCGTTACACTACAAACGCTGGTCCAGGTTACTTGATGCAAGTGACAGTGTCAGAAGCTCATGCATTGTACAACAAGGAACACAAATTACAAGTAAGTCTCGGACGATTTGCTGCTAAACGACCAAAGAATGTACGAAAGCTTGACATCAACTGCAGAGAATTTTGTTGTTGTGTATATTGCATAAACATACGAAAGAAAATGCTGACATTAAGTCGACACGTAAAAAGAGAATCCAAAGTTACCTCTGAAGGTAAAATATGCGAGATGTTGCTTTGTCCTAAGTCAGATGCAGAGAGGTTCTTCAAGATGGATTGTATAAATGGAACATGTAAAACATGTGGTCCGAGGGAAACCAGAAAACAAAAGCTTAGTACTTTTTATCAAGAGATCTCAGATGAGACGCTATTGACCTGGAGTAGATGGACCTACACTGAAATTGAGAAAAAGAAAAAACGTATCCTCACTACAAGACCAGGACAGAAACATGAACTGCTCGAAGAATTCCTTAAAGACATTGAGGAGCCAACGTCAGGAACATCTTTTTTTCAACACTTGAACACTGCCAATTGGCAAACTATGCAGTTTACTTCCATCAAACAGAACCTGCCTGAAAACTGCCTATTGCAAGTAATGGACTTCGCAAGAAACCGGGAGGTAAAATACCAGGATGAAATCAAATCGGTGTATTACAGTAAGGAACAAATTACCATCCATTCCATTGTGTCCTGCTATAAATCCTAAAATGGAACTGTCCGTGAGTCAGATGTTATCATATCAGAGGATATCAACCATGATTATCATGCTGTCCAGCACTATCAGGACATTGTCTACAACCATATAATATCCACCTGGAGGGAGCCTGAAGAAAATGTAGTGTTTAGTGATGGTTGTAGTGCACAGTACAAGAGTAAGGGCCCATTTAGAGATCTTGCCAATTTGAATAGAAAAGTGAACAGAAATTTTTATGGATCAGAACACGGAAAGGGAGACTGTGATGCTGAAACAGGCGTAATCAACAAAGCCATCGATAGAGCTATCAATGGGAACAAGGTTATCATAAATAATGCACTTGATACTTTTCATTACTGTAGATATCATCTGGAAATCGATGATGTATTTTCAAAAAGAAAGTTCTTCTTCGTGAAGAAAGATGACATCAGCAGAGAGAAACAAATGGACATAAAAACTGTAAGTGGTACAAGGAAATTACACCAAATTCAAAACGACCCTGCTAACCCCGGAGTATTATACACTCGAGAACTTTCATGCTTCTGTTGCAAACCTGACCAAAGACACAATATCTGTATCAACAGCAAAAGCATACAACCATATAAGAGGATTCAGCTACAAAGTATTGAACAAAATGCTTCAAAGTTGAAAAGCACCAAGGAGACTACAAAAGACACTGAAAGACAAAGTCATGAAGATGAGAAGTTGCAGACAGCGCACAAGGGCAACAACAAACGGACAGAAATTCGTGCTAGAAAGAGATCGCAGGAAAAAGATTTAGAGACTATACCATTAAAACAGAAAACCTTGTCAGACAAAACTACATCAAACAAAGGAAAACTGGAGACCACTACAGTGGAAACACCACAATCCACAGAACCAGTGTTTACAGATATCTTAAAAACCCTAAGAAAGTGCAAAACCTATGAAGATTTGAAGACCAAGGCTTTCTCTTATGCACAAGTCATTCCAGATGTGAAAGCCAAGAAGAGATGTTTCTCTAGGAATACATTTACAGTTGACGCTGTAGCATTGGAGCTTCTTCCTTGTGACACACCAGGGGAAGCTAAATATCCGGTAGTAGTTGGCGCCGATGGCAACTGGCTTCCCCGCTGTGGTTCCATTCATATATTTGGGAATGAAACACACCATGAAGAAATTAGGGCACGCATAGTCATAGAGATGGTAACAAATGAGGATATTTATTTGGACTGGCACCATTTGGCTAAAGGGACCCCTCTCTGGTAAAGCTGCTCAAAGATTACCTGCACATTACGCTACATATTCAGAGCAATATATACAGGGAGACATCCTGACCAATGATATCATTCGAAGTATTTATCATCAGGAAGCGTTGGAAGTTGTGAAAAAGTCCTCTTACATGGGCATTTGGCAATTGTTCGCATTATCCACAGTGATGCACAGTTCTCTGTTTTCTGCTTACCCTGAGCTTGGAAATCCAAATGTAAGGATGGATCTTCACAGACAAATATTACCATTGGGGAAGAAGACTACAGATGTCTGCATTATGTGGTCATCGACTAGATCAGATATGCAGTCCAACCACTGGGTCCCCAATCATTTTGTCCCCATGCTGCCCATGGATCTACCTGCTGATGTGATGGATGATCATACATGTATGTTTGAGGATGGTGACGATCAGCCAATGGAAATCTCAGGCCTATCGGATGTGCTGGAATGTCTTGGATTTGAATATGAGGTGAGTACCTTATATATACCATAATACATTTCCATTCTAAATCAATGCTTGGTACTCCATTTAGCACGAATTGTGGAGTAATTTCTACATATATATACATTTATGAGGAATGTGTTGTTAAATGACTAGGTCTGTTAATCGGACGTTGAGTCTGATACACACTATGAAATCTAATTATTAATTCAAAACATTTTAATAAGTCATCATGACATGTATACAAATTAAAAACAACAGTTTAACTTTTTACTGTCCTGCTATTTTGTTTCCGCTTTTATATAATATGACCTGTGCTATTCATCTGAAGTAAGTCCCTATGCATTATTTTGTTTACATTTTCATCAGTTATTGAACTGTATATATGTACTCATTAATTTTGATGATTTGCTTGACAGCTATCTTCATCCATGGAGGATCTAGCTCCTTTGCTGACATCACAGCAGTTATCTCCATCCATATACGAGCAGCCATCTACACCTGTAGTTGATCCAAATCCATGGCCAGCTCTCTCACAATCAAGGTACATGACTTATATTAAAAAAATATTAGTTAAAAATATGAATTTTTTAAAACTTATTAATGAAAGGTATTGTCCTAAGCTAACAATGTAGTTTGGCACAGATATCATGAATTGGCTAGCCATCACCATTCAACGTTTTTTTATGTACTGTTTAATTGGAATAGACACCAATATTTTGCACATGAAATATTCAAATTACTGTGACTGTAATATTTATATACCTTCCATGTAGTATGGAATTTTGCATTTTTCGTTTTTGAAGTTCGCACACAAAAATCACTGGACACATTACTTTCAGGTTGTTCCTGCCTGGGACAAACTTGTGGATAACAATTTCAATAGTTTTCCTCATATATACAGCGTATATACATGTATATATTTAATTCATTTACAGCATCAAATTACCAAAAGAGGATTTGGTCCATGGACACCAGTCTCCCATGTCTCCCATATGTGACTTTAAGGACAATATTGACAATTTAAGCTCAAGGTTTGTAGAAATTTTCGTCTAGTCTAATGGTCTACTCTAACCTATATAGCGTGTTAACACGAAATGTATTCGTCCATTAGGTATACTAGTTCAGTAATGTTAAGGGAATCTCAAGTATGTTGTGATAAAACTTAAGTCTGAATTTATTTTAATTTACAGCATCAAATTACCAAAAGAGGATTTGGTCCATGGACACCAGTCTCCCATGTCTCCCATACGTGACTTTAAGGACAATACTTACAATTTAAGCTCAAGGTTTGTAGAAATTTTCGTCTAGTCTAATGGTCTACTCTAACCTATATAGCGTGTTAACACGAAATGTATTCGTCCATTAGGTATACTAGTTCAGTAATGTTAAGGGAATCTCAAGTATGTTGTGATAAAACATTTGATACAACTTGAGTCTGAATGTTATGAAAGAGAAGGATTTTTAAATAAGGCAACCAAAGATATGTTTTTCGAACATATGTTATTTCTCAAATATTTGCTATTAGTTTGCTTATGTTGTCATGTCTCAAAGCAGTAAATTTGTTTCTGTAAATTTATGAAGTTAAAATCAATATCTCGACACTTCTTTTTCCTGTTTCAATGGATGGTAGAGTTTCTATTTTGAATTTGAAACAAATGCCCCTATCCAAATTTACAGGTTTATCTCAGGGACATATATCTCTGTCAGCCATGGCAACAGAGTGTTTCCTGCTGTTGTAAGTGAATCATAAGTTGATGATTGATTGGATACTGATCATGAGAGTAATATTTGTGAACGTGTTTTTCTTGAGGGTTGGACAGGGGGAAAGAAATTTACCAGACTTATGACCTTATATTATTCTGTTTATATTTACTACTGAAATGATGTGAAATCAAGTATTTATAAAGCAAATCAAGTGATTTACAGTATTCAAGTTACCACATCTATATTGTTGATAACTATTATCAATACAATTTGATAATGAACTGCAACCCCAATCCCAGAAGTTAAAACCAACATCTCACAAAATATTATCTTCAATTCAGTATCTTTGTTTGATTGACATTTTGATTACTTTTGTATTACATGTCAGTTGTTAATCATGTTGAATTAATTTTGATTGTTCTTAAAATATGCCCTTGGAAGACCAATGAGATACATTCCTCTTCCATTGGATCATATATTGATTTTGATTCATTTAAAGTGGTGAATTATATAATGTTTGTGTTCACTCTGAAGAAAATAAGTATTTGTTGTTTGAATGAAAAGCGAAGTTAAAAAGACACCATATCCAAAAGATGAATAATGGCTTTAATTGGAATTATGTATTGTAATTCAAATCATTGATTGATAACAGTAAAATAAATTATGAATATTATTAGTTATTCTGTCCATATGGTCAAATCAAGTTCATGGTCCATTTTACTTATGTCATAATAAGTCATTTGCTAAGTTTCATTTTCTCTGGGCACTTATTGGTATTAACAATATCTATAGCACTGATTCATATTACACATTCTTTCCAACTGCCACCAATTGCAGTCATACCTATATTTACTTAGGTTGAGAATTGGCCATGGGTCACATTTTTCTGCCAGTCATCCAAGAAAGGGAACTGGATACCCGGAAACATCCAACACACAGTTGTTGAATCTGATGTCTTGCAGATTCTTGATGCTCCAAACATGCAGATGTCTGGCACAAGGATTCACTACCAGTTTGGTAAGATAGATTAAGACATGTACTTCATTAAGTATCAATGTTGAAAATATATATATAGTAAATATTTACAATACTGTATATATTGTATATATTGTAGAATATTACATTTGTATTTTCACTCCTGTACAAAATATTGGTTTATTTGTACATACAGTTTTATTTAATGAGACAAATGGTAAATCAATATCTATTCTATTGAACCATTTCTAAACACACCTTTGATTTTTTTTTTTTTTTTTACTTTCAGAATCACTTTGAAGAATATCCACAGACTACAATAAAACAATTTGAATTTGAATCTGAATTGTTGTTGCTTTTTTCTGGCTCATTAGTCCACCATATTACTGGATACAAAAACTTACCCTTCCATTTTCATTTTAGAAGAAATTAGACAATTATTTTAGGAAAAAAGATATCCAACTTTAACTACAAAGATACATTTAATATATATGCAATAATGTAACCTCATTATGTTTTCAAGTTATGTAGCACCGCAATGTCCCTGCATTGTTATGTCTTGATCTTGTCTGATAATTGCTTTCAATAGAAGTAAATGTTGAAATGCTTACAAACAGATCTTAATAAAATATAGTTATAACAATACCAGTCAAAATAAAACTAAAAACAAATGTCTGTCAAATCATGACATTATAAAGAAAATGTCTGTCAAAGTATGACATTAGCAAAACCTTGTCTGTCAAAGTATGACATTAGCAAAACCTTGTCTGTCAAAAGAATGACATTAGCAAAACCTTGTCTGTCAAAATGTGACATTAGTCAAAAGATGTCAGTCAAAAAGTGACATTTGCAATTGTATTTTTTTTAAATCATTCTTTATTATGAACTTTGAGAATTCTACCAAAATGTTTTCTTTACACAGATGAATTTTTTTATAATTTTTTTCATATATGTCTGTCAAAATGTCCATCAAAATATGACATTAGCACTTAATTCTACCAAAATGTTTTCTTTACACAGATGAGTATAATTTTTTTCAAATTGTAACAAATATATCAAATATTTACGTGCAAATTGGAGGTATTCAAATTTATGTCCGTCACTAATGTCATATATGTCTGTCAAAATGTCCATCAAAATATGACATTAGCACTTAAGATTTAAAAATTAAATTAAATTAAAAATTCAGCTCTTCCCAGCCACGATTTATGTAAAATATGCTTCAGAAGAGGCTTTTGCATCAATATCTGAACTTTTCAGCAAATTTTACTGAGTCATATTTTCTTCTCAATATGGAAGATGTCATAAAGGCCCAAAGAGAACACCCCCCCCCCCCTCCCCTGCCTTTGGCATGGGTAGTCTTTGTATGTATACATGTGGCTGTTAGTTAGTCCAGTGGGTGTCATTCACTGTGATTGTTTACTGCAAGTCTTCACTGTTATCTATTGATTATTTCGTGTCCAAATCAAAGCTGAAAAAAGCTTTAAAGCAGATTAAATGTTCAGTTAATATTAAAATTTGGTAATTTAAAAAAAAAAAATTAATTCTACGAAAAAAAATGAAGTTGTAATTTGAAATTGAAAAACTTTTTTGTATAGGTATATGTAGGAATTATTCAAGTTTATATACCAATTTACAGAACTGAAATATCTTAATAATTGCAAAATCTGTTTCATTTTTCCGGACGCTTGGTGTCTGTGATATGTACAGCAAAGTGTATGTAAAGCTGAGTTAAAATCTCAGTCTGAGAGGGGTTTTTCAATTCTTCATAACTCCTGTTTTATTTGACCTACGCTGATTCTGTTTACGCCGAAATGTTTGAAATAGCTCACAGTTGATGAAAATATTTTTTTTTTTAAATTTAAAAAATACTTCCGGGTTCAGTACCCACGAATGAAGTCCCTAAAAAATGTATGTATATTTGGGAAAAAAATAATATGCCTCTTTGAAATGGATGTTTGCCTATAAATTTGCTGTAGATGTGTTATAGAGATGATAATCTAGCTGTCAGTGTGTAAATCATTCATATTGAACATGTATTTTGTGCTGCAGGATCCGGTGTAAAAAGTCCTGTTTTCACCTTTACCCCTGACCCGGATGTATATAATTGACGTTGGTGACACACATGGAGGTATATCTCCAGAAAATGCCCAACATGATGGGTTGAAACTTTTACATTTTGCTTCTCAGATGTTGATCTTGGCCAGGTGAAATGGAAATTTGCAGATGAAACTTTGGGACTTAGTTATGAATTTTAATGTTACAATGAAACATATAGTGAAATTAATTGTGGTCTTAGTCCTTAATGACATGCCTAAAAATCCATGTTTTTATTTCTCATACCCACATTTTTTGACCGATTCTCATACAAATTGGCATGGTTGTTCTATATTTCATGACTGATTAGGTAGTGAAATAATTTTTAATTCATCACTTCGATTATAATTAAAATTTTAATTAAATTAAATTTTTAGAAAATTTTTAAACTTTATTTTCTGGAGTGATCAGGACATCTATAAATAACATCAAATTAGCATATTTGTGTTCTTGTGTATTCCTACGCCAGATTTTTAAAAGTTAAGATGGAGGATTTTTTTCAAATTATACAAGTACAAGATCTTAGAAAATTCTGTGGTTAGCCCAGATAATGGCTTGTGTAGGATTTGGATTGGACCTGTAACAAGGACAGGGAAATATGGAATTCTGTCATTTAAGGACCCCAGTGATTTAAAATGGAAAAAGAAACATGCACACAGACTTGCTTTTATTTGTTTTTCTGAAAATTTAGAATTGTCAAGTGATCTGGACTGTTCCCATCTCTGTCATAATAGTTTATGTTTAAATGTAGAGCACATAAGTTCAGAACCTCATTTTGTAAATAATAACAGGCAGTACTGTTTAAATTCAAATGTGTGTTATGGTCATTTAGGGTTCAGTGACTGCATGTTGAATTTGAAAATGTAATTGAGTTTTTATTGATTTGAGGGTATTAGCTATTGTACACTGATGTATACAACATTGTCCGACTACCACCACGTGGAGGTTCCCTCATTAGGTAGTCATATATTTTGTTGTTGTTGTTGCTGTTGTTGTTACATTATTTTGTGTTTTTTTTCTGATTGTTGACATGTCTCTAATAAATTTGTTGTCACCTCTTCTTCTCAATACAGGTGGTCCTGAGGTCGGTTGTCTCCCCTACATGGATGGATGTTGGGATCTAGCTGACCTCTCCTGTAGTCAGACTTCCGAGCGGACCTGGACCTTTTCGCATGCTGCTTGTGCTGTTCTGCTAACAACAACATACTTCTTTTCTTGACAGCAGGTTTGTATTGGTGGTGGCGTTGATATATTTCCTCTGAGCTGAGTTGATTAAGTTTATGTTTGACCTCCCTACTTGATTGAAGAAGCAGTTGTATTCAAACCTAATGACACAGTGATCAGGTGACATCATATCCTTTCCCTCTCAGCCAAGCTCCTGTCCAGCAAAGTTTGTTGTGGAGGGCACGTCCAAGTATCCACTTCTTAGGGGTAGATGTCTCGATACCCAGACTTAACCCCTGTGAGGCATTCATCCCTGGCTTCTTAGCACTTCCAAATGATGTGCTGTTGTACCGCCCATCCACAGCTAGTCCGATGGTGCTCGGGGAATCATCTCCTCTCAGGGTGTTGGCCTCCACCACCAGTCTGGTCTTCTCGGACATGTCCTTTTTGTTGAGGGCAGTAATGTCCTTGGACACTTGATTTGCCTGTCGCTGCACTCCACTCTTGGCTCCTGCAGGTATATTCAGGTGTCCGAGAAGTAACGTGGCTCCTTTGGTGCTGACAGCCTGGCCACACAAAGCTGAAGGCAGGTACTTGTTGACAAGGGCTGGCTTTGGTCCGGGCTTATCCGTGTCTGCCTCTCTATGTAGTTTGTACAGTGGAGATCTGTACTGGCATTTATTACATCGGACAGCACAACTCCATCCCAGAGCCCTTTTCCGCTCGGTGTCCAGTTCAAACTCCGGTACCATGCATGATGTAGTGTTTGGTTGTCCGGCGTGAAGTCTGATGATGTCGTTCCACATTTTCACCATCAACACTATGTCGATGATCCGGTTTCCTTCTATTACAGGCTCAGAGTTGGATTCTTCAGCTGTAACAGTTGCCGGCCGTAGTATCCGTGTTGGACAAGGTCTGTCTCCAGTATCTGTTGTTACCAGGGAAAGGCCGTCAGGACTGGGCTTGGTGATCAGCTGAAATTCCTGGGTGGTCAGTCTTCTGGTCAGAGCTGGTCTCTCTTCTCTGGTGACAGGTACCTCAGGATCTTCAACTTTAAATACCTGGCCCTTATTCTTTGGAACATTTCCAGGCTTGAAATAATTGTTCCTTCTCTTTCTGTCTCCCTTCATATTGGTAATGGTCAGTAATGGTCAGTAGTGGTCAGCAGTGGTCAGTCAGAAGTAGTCAGATGTATTAAGAATACAAAATTCAAACTGAAGCTGACCACTTGATTGGTCATTGTGATATACACATCATTGCCTGTTTGATAATATAACATCAAAGGTGTTTCAGAGACAGGGAGAGCCCCAAAAGTAAACATAAAGGCCCAAAGAGAACACCCCCCCCCCTCCCCTGCCTTTGGCATGGATAGTCTTTGTATGTATACATGTGGCTGTTAGTTAGTCCAGTGGGTGTCATTCACTGTGATTGTTTACTGCAAGTCTTCACTGTTATCTATTGATTATTTCATGTCCAAATCAAAGCTGAAAAATGCTTTAAAGCAGATTAAATGTTCAGTTAATATTAAAATTTGGTAATTTTAAAAAAAATTAAAATTCTACGAAAAAAAATGAAGTTGTAATTTGAAATTGAAAAACTTTTTTGTATAGGTATATGTAGGAATTATTCAAGTTTATATACCAATTTACAGAACTGAAATATCTTAATAATTGCAAAATCTGTTTCATTTTTCCTCACGCTTGGTGTCTGTGATATGTACAGCAAAGTGTATGTAAAGCTGAGTTAAAATCTCAGTCTGAGAGGGGTTTTTCAATTCTTCATAACTCCTGTTTTATTTGACCTACGCTGATTCTGTTTACGCCGAAATGTTTGAAATAGCTCACAGTTGATGAAAATATTTTTTTTTAAATTAAAAAAAAAAAAAGTGTCCTATAATAGGACTAAGACCACAATTAAATACTTCCGGGTTCAGTACCCACGAATGAAGTCCCTAAAAAATGTATGTATGTTAGGGAAAAAAATAATATGCCTCTTTGAATTAGATTTTTGCCTATAAATTTGATGTAGATGTGTTATAGAGATGATAATCTAACTGTCAGTGTGTAAATCATTCATATT